CACGTTGTACCTACCGACAGTATTCCTCTCCTACTTTGTGCAAAGTTATGCCGGTGTCATTTCCAGGTGTAACAATTCCAATTCATCAATTTCAAACTGTTTTCTGTGAGCTTGCTTTTATACAAACTAACCTAACCAGAAATCCCTGTGTTAAATAGGAAGAAATGAAGAATATTGTAGTGGAAAGTCTTTTCGATAACCTCATCATCACACTCTAAAGTAACAAGTTCACAAACATAGTGTGAGAAAGGCTAAAATTGAGCATTCAAGTGAATTAGACAATGTTGTGTTAAAACGTGACTAACTCGGTTAAATGCCGAACATTCAATTTTCGTTCTCTCAGTTTCGTGAATAACACTCTTTTCGTGTGAAGACAGTGAGTAGCACTTTCCTGGATGGTGTAAAATTACCCTGGTCAACAAGGATATATATATTATACATAAATTTGATCTCTGATCATCCAATGTTCATTAGTTTTGTTTAATTAATTAAACCAATTTCTATAAATCTACTTAATTAATTCTAGAGTGAATACATGTCTTGAATCCCTGACCAGCAAGGAGACGGGTCCATTTATTAGAACAGAACCAATCGAGTGCGGCTTCATCTGTGCGTGTTACATTCTGTGACGACTCTGGATAACTTTACTGATCGCAGTCGGCCTTGTATCGATGATGGATCTTTCAAATATCTGCTCTATCAATTTGTTTGCAGGTGATTTGCCTACCATATATTACTTATATTAAAGGTATGTATGTATGTAAAAGTAGTAAATAATTGAATGAAATACCTTTATTGGACTACGTTATTATTGGTTGTACTGTTGATATTAATTAGGTGTTACTTTTTATTGATTATTTTATTGTTTCCAGATAGTTTTAATTACTAATCTACTTTAATTATAGAATGATTTAAGCGTTGAATTTATGAGTCAATCCAAGCTAGATCACCATCAAAATCCTGGAAGCACTGGATAACCGTTTCGTCCTAGCATGGGACTTTTCAACAGTGTGTATACACGATTCCGTCACGGTCACTAATGACTGTCTCTAAGAGATATTTTCTGGAGTTCTAGTGAGATGCAGTGACTAGTGGAGTTCAACCTGATTGATTGTGAGGTAGTTACTCATTAAAGACAACGATGGACGGTGGCGCAATATCGTGGATTGATTAAAATTAAACATTAACGAAGTTGAATACCGGACCAATGATCTAGAGATTAAGCGTTCGCACGCGAGACTGAAGGTTCTGAATTCGAGTCTTACATGCGGGATCATTAATGTACATTGATGATGAGTCTCATACTGAGATGAAATTGCCATCTAGTGTTTCTAGGTTTTCCATGGTGATCTAGCTTTAATTGATCCATGAACTCAACTAATAAATTACATTGTAAAATAGTTCACATGTAATTTGAAATTCCACCTTCATTACTATTGTAGTTTAATTCAACTGACATTGTCTCCTAGTATTCTGCACCAATGAAAGTTGAATATATTTCAATAAAATTTAATAGTACATTAAACTTAACTAGTTATTATATCATTATCAATTTAGGGTTGTATAGATTGTTGTGTTTAGATTGATATAATAAGTGGATCAATGTTAGACTGTTATTCAAAACTTGGACGGCCGTTTTATCCTTATGTGTAGTGAGACCTTAAAAGTTACAATGGAAGGTGTTTATCTAACATTTCGTAATCGTTACTGCTTTGCTAACTGATACCAGTATTTGATTGAGATCACGAATTGATTGATGTTAGACCGCCATTGAAAACCTGAAAATACCAGACGACCGTTTCGTTGTGGGACTCCTCAGCAGTGCTCATTCATTATCCCACTCTCAGGATAGGACGAAACAGCCGTCCAGTACCTCCAGGTCTTCAATGGTGGTCTAACATCAATCAGTTCATGATCTCAATCAAAAACTTAATAATTTCATCAACCCTATGCTGATGAATCAGTATATCATGAGGAATTTACTTCAAGATCAAAACAGAACATTTGCTGGTTTGTTAGTCAATTGTCAATACCAACATGTGACGATTATCACCTTCAGATTTGAGGATCCATTCAGATCATAGGGTCACCTATTTTATAAATAGGTTAATTTAGATTGATAATAACCATATTATTATAAATCCTGACTGGATACACTCATTTTATATCAATAACAGGTTACAATCTATCACAGTATAAAGTTACGATAATCTTGAATGGATACTCTGTATATGTCAGTGAATTTCTCTGCTTGTCTACTCTTTTCAAACAAGTTAGGAAATCGATTGATGAGAATTTATATTTTCAATTTCTTATATATAGGGAAATATATAATCGTTTCACATTATGTTCTACTGATATCGATAAATAAAAGTAGTATGTATTATCAATCGAAAGTGAAATACCTGACAGCAGAAGGCTAAGAAGATCGAAAGAAAGACAATGAGAAGAGAAAATGATTGGTGTGGAAATGAAAGTACAATGAAGTGTGGGACCACTAATTGACATTTTGCAAATGAAGTACTGTTCTCAGATTTGACTAAGATGATCTATAATTTTGTACTGAAATATATCAGATCGTTGCCACTTGTGTTCTTGTTCTGAACAACTATATGCTGTATATAGACGTTAGATTTGTGCCTATTGTTATTGCTCTTGCTTCTGGCTGCTTACGGAACATATTCTCCATTTTGAACATGGACTTCTCTCTTTAAATAGCGGGGCTTGAACGCGTCAGAATAGCTATCTTATTGATATTTGGTCATAGAGTCTTTGTTCCGTTCTCGGACTAGGTGAACTCGTAATCGCTTCAAACATAGCTCATTAGTAGTAGTAGTAGTAGTAGTAGTAGTAGTAGTAGTAGTAGTAGTAGTAGTAGTAGTAGTAGTAGTAGTAGTAGTAGTAGTAGTAGTATATTACTATTATCCATATTAGTAGTATAACTATCACTATTAGTAGTATTCGTATTATTGGATAAAATGTCGAGCATGAAAACCCCATGAACTACTTTTGAATAAGAAAAGCAAAATCTTTTACAAATTCAATAATTCTTCTTCATCCCTTGAAAGACAAAAAAAAGCATATGAATTAGCGGCATTCTATATCTGATAGCCGGTATTATCTTTTTATTGTTAATTCTGTTGAAAGATCTTTGTTTCTTGCTTTTTTGTTTTCCTTTTTAATGATTTCTCCAGAATTCTTTCTTTTTTCTCAATTTCTTCTCTTTTTTCTTTCTTTTTTCTACATATTGTCCAAGTTGAATTTACTTCTATGGTTTATTCATTAGAATTCGATTGTTGATCCGTTAGCACATTTCTCTGCTTTATTTCTTTTTGCTGTTGTGGTTGTTGTTAAGACATACTTACCGGTATAGTTCGATTTGGTAACTCAACTGTTTCGGTAAAAAAACAAAAAAAAGAAAAGAAAAGAGGGTTGAATAATTTACGACTAATATGAATCTGTCGACAAGTAATGAATCAGTGATTTATTCATGTACTAAAATATTTAAGATGATTATAAGATTGAAAGAATGATCTAAATGGATTGATTAATATAGAAATAGATTTTTCTGATGGAGGTTTGTTCACTGTGATTGAACTGTACTACTCACGTTAAGCCTGCATGTTGTCTATCTCTCCTGTTAAACGGGATTGAGCTACACTGTATGGGTTGTCAAGTGAAAGACTAAATGGTGTCTGGTTCTCCTGAAAACCAATGTAACATTACCCTGGCCCACAACAGTATATTATATATAAATTTGATCTCTGATCATCAAATGTTCATTAGTTCTGTTAAATTAATTAAACCAATTTCAATAAATCTACTTAATTACTAAATTTCTGGTATTGACTGTGTTGTTTAAGACAATAGGATCACCATTATTATGTCATCTAATTCATAGAAACTAAAACAAACACAATCTCCTTCCTAAACTCATGATTCTTGTTCATCATTTTTACATGAACTGTTATAGATAAGCACCCGTTACAGAGTAGACGAGCACTAACGACGAGTCCCATACTAGAACGAAACAGTCATCCGATTCTTACAGATTTTTAGTGCTGATCTAACATTGATCGGTTCATGATTTCCATATAGTTCAACAACCTTCACAACTCTATACTGATAATAATCAATCGTAATCAGTTTTTGTTTTCAATGAATATAAGAATTTGAAATCAATATTTAACATAAGATGGTGGAGAAGATTTATAGCTCAGGTGGATGATTTTGATAGAGTTTTGTTCTCTGGGCTGAATGGTTTAGTCGAGGAGCTTTTGTGGTTATTCTGAATGATATCATCAGCAAACACTTCAGATAGTTTGTACTGATGATATCGGTTCAGAATAATAATAAAATCTTCATGAACAAACCATTCAGCACAGAGAGCTAAAGTCCTGCTTGAATATCTGTGCTAACTGTACCTGTCATCTAGAAATTTCTAAAAGTTATCTTCTTTGTTTGTTTTAATACATCATTATGTTCATGAGTTGCATAACCTATTCGGATACGTTTATGAAACGTTCACGATCTTTCACTGTACAAGTTATAAAAGAGCCCAATCAGAGACATCGTAGTTACTGGCAATAAACATTCAAGAGCATGAACATCATTCAAATGTCTCGAAAAGCGCATGTCCGACGCTCTAACTGGGTTGGTGGACATGGAGAGTCCACCTAGAGGAGTTGGAAAACCCTCATTCCAAACCAATGGAGCACATGGACTCCAGGATTCTAAGGAAACAAATGGCGTATGAACCTATTGTTGAAAACTGGCCAACATAGGACTACATCTCCGGACGTTACTTCACTGCCTTGTGGATCAGACCATTAGGTTGAAGGCTCCGAGTGTGGCTTCCTAAGAAAACCACCTTCTATTTAGGTATTCGGGCAGTATCCCAGCTCTCATACAAATCGAATGATTTATGTGGCACATATCTATTTGGTGCCTCCCTGTACCAATGTTTATGTGTTCAAATTAATAAATAAGTAAACTCTATGGGTCGATATAAATTTCAAGCGTAAATTGAAATAAGGTATTTCATGATTATTGGGATGATTTTATGATTATTTGGGCATCTGTATGCATTTCGAGAATATAAACCTAACTTCTCTCAAATTCACTTGGTATTATTGTTTACTTGAATCTTCCCACTGTTATGTAGAACTACAATTCCTCAGTCTCTTGTTGGCATATGTGCGCATTGCCTCCTGGATTCCATCGCTACCCATTATCCATCTTGCCAGTACAATTTGAAGGTTGAGATAGTATTACACGATTTCTTTCGTCCCATTTACTGAAACCAAATCAAACCGAAGTCTTATGAAATCATATTACCTTTCGAAACTAGATTCATTTTTTACAAAACAACGATTTCCTTTTTATAGGATACTGTTGTCGCTTGAGAATACTGGCTGATATGTGTTAAAGTCGCTTATCGGAATTTCAACTATTCCGTTAATAACCTAGCATTCTAGACTTCATTAATTACACTTTTGATCGACACAGTTAACCTTGAGCTGGAACAAACTAAGCTTGCATCTATCCACCATTGCATAATCCTTTCTCTATCTCTTGCCTTGAATCTAAAGAAAAGTCAGCAGCCAGCTTTAGTTATTCAACTCAACTATGATTCATACAAAAGGGCAAAATTGTGATCACACATCAATGCAATTGGAAAATTACAGTAATGGCATAACTATCCCATAAGTGAAAAAGAACTGAGTAATAAGTTCGTAATAAGTTAACAAATTAAGAAAGATACAACGTATAATGAAGGTATTGTATGTCACAGAGAAGATTACAAGCAGGAGAACAAACATAAAAACAATAACTTCAGGTAGTAAGACAGTTCTGAAAGTTCGACTTTTCCAAAACTTATCCCGCCAAAACAGATAAACAAAATTCGTCACATCAAAATGGAATGGTAACATTGAGAGGCAATAGCAAAGAGAAGTGGGCGTCTAACGTTTTATGGATGAACTCATCTAAGTAAGTCGGGAAATACTATTTGTATACCAATAATGCATGTGTACTACAAAATCTTGAAGGAACAACTAGTGTATAAGCCAACCTTAATCACTGACTGGCATTTCCTAAAGTTTCTTAGCAATTTTCTTCAGATCAGATTACTAGATTAAAGGGTTGAGGATTAGTTCCTATTTATTTCGGTTAAGCTGTCTCAACAATATCATCTTATCATTTATACAAATCACGGAAATAGGGAAACTATGAAACACTATTTCCGTGTACATTTCTATTGTACATAAGGATTTTGTACAGATTGTATAATTCCAAATGTTGAACCATTCGAAATCACAGAACTGCGCTGACCTCCATACACACAGACACTTAAGTAACAGGTAAACAATCCCTAATGTGTTTAGATTGATATCATGAATGGATCAATGTTAGACCACCATTGACAACCTGGAAGCACTGGACGGCCGTCTCGTCCTGTTGTGAGACTCCTTAATAGTGCGCATCCACGACCCTACTCCCAAGATTCAAACCCAGGGCATTCAGTCTTGCACGCGAACGCTTAACCTACTGAACCAATGGTGTTAATGTCCAACCTCAACCAATCCACGAAGTTGCGCGACCATCTTCCATTGTAATGAGCTAGACACCTGTTTCTACCCGACACGGATTATATTTATATATATGGTGTAATTTAGCCAAATAAACTTCCTTTCTCACTCTTCATCTTTTATTTCGAGTAACCAGATTCGCATATATAATGAGTTAGTATCAGTATCAACTTTCAAATACCGTATGTCAAGACATTACCATCCAATAAATTTCGAAAAGAGTTTATACATTTGTACTCTACCATCCACACACACACACACTCTTTTGAGTGGTGTTGTTGGGAATGGGGTAGGGGTTTGGAAATCCTCTGATCAATTGAAAATTATGCATAAATTAAGTTTTTTTTAGAATCTACGGTAAAATATAAACACAAATATAGCTTTATATATATTTCTTATGTGTGGGCGTAGATAATAATTGGTTGTCCGCTTAGACGGATATGTAGATAGTCTGACGTGTCGGATGAGCTATATATTCCTCTATCATTATTATTAGGACTCATTAATATCAGATGGGTTTTGTGGAGATTGTAGTAGTTTCAATGGTTAAGATCATGAACCAATTGAAGCTAGATCACCATGGAAAACCTGGAAGCACTGGACGGCCGTTTCGTCCTATTGTGAGACTCCTCAGCAGTGCACATCCACGACCTCGTCCCCTGCGAGGTCCAAACCCAGGACCTACTGGTTTCGTGCGCGAGCACTTAACCACTAGACCATTGAGCCGGCATCCAATGGTGTTAATGTCTAACTTTAACTAATCCACGAAATTGAGCGACACATTCACTCATTATTGATTGTTCATCACTGTTGGATTGTGTCGAGTTTTTGGTGTGGAAATAGATTTACATTGTGGTCAGGCTAATCACGGTGTTCTTGATCATCTGAATTGTGTTGAAGTCCTGTAGAATAATAGACACTGGGTGGGATGAAAATTTAGTGTAGATATTCATCTAAAAGGTAAATTAACGTCTCATACGTGTAAACATGGCAACCCAACCATTATAACATTAGACGAAGTTAAAACTGAGCAGTATAACAATTTCTATTCTAAACATTTCATATTTCTATACAACACATACAAAAGATGAAAATCCATTCAATCGAAAGTGTTTAAACAGGCAACACAATATAAATGATGTATACATACTACCTAGAAGGTATATATATATATTCCCAATTGTTTCAATGAATGAATCGAAGTTAATTGAATCACCAGAATCAGTGGAATAAACAGATTATTCACTATTCAATTCAATATGGTAAGTGTTGTTTTGTATATTATAAAGAATAAAACACAATAATATATTTACTTCCAAATATAATTTTTTGGTAGATCAGCCCTGAAATTAGTTTTTATAATCCATGGATTAAACATTATTTCAAGTATACTTTTATATTTTGGATTATATGCCGGTGGTATACAAGTACGAGGATCCTAAAAGGAGAAAAAAAAGATAAGATACATACATAGAAAATAAACAAACAAATGATAATAATGAGAGATTTAAATCAAATCGGAATTTATGCAAACACACACACAATGTGAGGTATGCTACGGTATGGTCGAAGGTGAGGAAAGTCAGCTCTCCTTCTTGAAATGCTCTTTTATATGTCCACGTGTATACAACCGCTCTGCTAGGGGAGACCTACTGATCAGTGTCTTCTCGCACCATAGACGTTGTTTAGCGAAATTGAGAGGATGAGAAGCGAATGTCAGTTGATGATTTTAACCAGGTTGGTAGATATAGAGGATCTATCTAGGGCAGTTGAAAAATTCTCATTCCAAACTAATGGTTCACATGGCCTCCAGGATCCTGAAGAAATAAACGACGTGTAAATATATCCTTGTTCGCCGGCTGCTATACAACTGTATCTCCTGACATTGCTCCACTGGATTGGACCTCTAAATCAAAGGCTCAGGGAGTGGTCCACTAAGAAAACCAACCGCTTTAGTTTGGGCACACTGGAAGTATTCCAGCCCTCGTGCCAACGTTTATGTGTTTAAATAAATACAGTATGCTACTTATGTTGACAGATATAAGCAGTATATGGAATGCCTGTGACTAGAAGATTGAAATAAAGGAGCAAGATAAGAAAACTTAAGGCAATCAATATAACAACAGGAATTAATGGGAGATGGGAGAATAATGTATTTAATCTATGATTTGCATATATTACCAAGACGCTCTGTAATTTTGATTATCCCTATCAAGTTTTCGTTCAGTTGAACAATATCATACACATTATAAACGTAGTTTATTAGATTACTTAATAATAAGCGAATTCATGTCATACATTTACACGCCATTGTGTTCTAACTTTCTAGATTATTAAAATCATTTAATAATTTAGCTTTGAAAGTGAGACCATTAATCTACTATCTTAATCCTAAGGTGAAGTCTTAATTTTCAAAGGGTAATTCTAACATAATTAATTAGTTAGTCTTATCTCATTGAGTTGTGATTGACCAGATGTTATAATTCTCTTTTATTATAACAACCCAGCTATTCTTATTGCTTAGTGATCTCGGACACTAACTTCACTCGACAACTCCCCAAATCAGAAAACAGTTGAACAGGAAAAGAGATTATATTTCAAGTACCAACAGTAGATGGAAGTGAGAAGCACAACAGGGAAAACATTAGTATATTTATAGTTTTTATATGAGAAGATTCCTAGAGTCTTCTTCAAGTATCGACTAGTGTTGATTGTTATCAGAATGGGTTTTGTGGAGAGTTATAGAAATTTCACAGGTTGAAATCATGAATCGATTGAAACTAGACCACCATGGAGAACCTGGAAGCACTGGACGGCCGTTTCGTCCTAGTATGGGACTCCTCAGCAATGCACATCCACGATCCCGCACCACGCGGTGCTCGAACCCAGAACCTACTGGCTTCGCAAGCGAGCACTTAACCACTAGACCACTGAGCCAGCGTGCAGCAACACAATTATCCATGAAGCATACTTTAATCTAATCTACGTCCCGCTAACATCAGATTACATTAAGAATCAGTCAAATTTATTGATTATCACCAAAGTTCACCTTCATCATTCAACTCTATTAGATGATGATGATTATTATTATAATGATGAATTACAACAACAACAAAAAAAGGAATAAACTCACTAACCATATGAATAGCTGCACCTTGTAATTCTTGTGCTTCATAAGTATAAGTTAATTCATTTAAATCCATAGGAAATTCTACTTGATCAAATACTCTTGTAAATTTTTCATGAGCATTTGAAAAACTTGAAAAGTAAAAAAGAAAAGAAAAGAAAAAGAAAATCGATTCAAATTTATGAGACTCTGATTTTTCAAATAAGAAATTGATGAATAGTAACTTTGATAATATTTGCATATTAGTTGCTTGAAACTTCCCCCCCCTCTTATTGATGTTTAGGATTGTAATGAATGAATCTTGAGATGGTGGAGAAGATTTATAGCTCAGATTGATGATTCTGATGGTTTGGTCTTGTAGCTTTCATCGTTCTTCTGAACAATATCATCAGCACAAATTTCAGAAAGAAATGAAGTGTTCGAATTTCTCCATATGTGGTTCATAGCTTGTTCTGTAGACCTCGATGTTGATTAGTTTTTGTTGACCTTAAACTTGTCATTGTTTACTTCATTGTATCTCCCATTGGTTTGGTTTTTGTTCCTATATTTGTGCATAATTTTCCTTCCACGTGTCATGGCGTTTGACTGCTAATTGGTGTTCATGCAGGCGAAGATGAATTAAGCGTCTGCTTTGTTCGATGTAGTGTTTTTCGTAGTTGGCACAATTTATTTTGTAGATGATGTTTGATTTGTCTTCTTTTGTCATTTCACTCTTTGGTTTGCATAGAATTAATTGTAGTGATTTTCTCAGTTTGTGTGCCACACCTATTCCGAAGGTTTTCAGCAGCCTTGTTTTCGTTTCTGATATGCCTTTTATGTGTGGTAGGGAGATCCTTTTGTTGATTTCTGTACTTGCCTTGGATTCTGATGATGCATGCGGCTGGTATTTTTTGATGAAGTTGATTGGGTGGCCGTTCTTTTGACATATGTCCTCCAGGTATTTCTTTTCATTTTTTTCGTGCTGCCACTGTGTACTCGCCCTCTTGAACAAAGTGTGTATGCAGTTGATTTTGTGAGCTCTTGAGTTGTTGCTATTGTGGTTGAGAATTCGAAATTATGCACAAACATAGGAACAAAAATCAAACCACAGAAGTAAACAATGACAAGTTCAAGGTCAACATCGAGGTGTACAGGACAAGCTGTGAACCACATATGGAGAAATTCGAACACTTCACTTCTATCTAAAGTTTGTGCTGATAATATCGTTCAGAAGAACGATGAAAGCTCCACAACCAAACCATTCACCTCAGAGAACAAAACTCCATTAAAAAAATGGATGTCTCTTCTTTCGGGATATATGTATCCTGTAGGGATTGCTTTGATATCACCACTAAGTCATAAATAGTATAAACAAAGACGGATTCGAATCACAGAGTGGACATTAACAAGCCTAAGATGCAAGTACATTCGGTTGACGAGTCCCAAATAGGATGAAACACGCGTCATGGATTCCACTACTAGCCACTATCCATCTTTGCTTATAATAGTGGAAAATGTTTATGAATTTCGACAGAGGATTACTTACTTTAATGTTACTATTAGCTACTATAATCTAATATGAAATAAATAACTTGAAGGGGGTATATTCAAACCACAAATTAGATATTTGTTTGTTATAGTCTATAACGTTAGAAGCGGTTTAGTGATTAAGGATACATTTGTGAATTATATCACACTTATATCAGATTACTTTCTTACATAAAACGTATGGCGCTTAAATTCAAATACAAAAATATGTTCTAGGTAAATAAGTTGAAAACTTTCTCATATTTCAGTATGTTCGATATGATATGTCTGCTAATATAATACCTAATTAATGACTTCTTAGCTACTTTCTATGGTCTTAAACTGTTTCAACACTTCAACTCGAATAATAGAGAAAACAAGTGGGATGTAAATGAACACTTTATTCCAGAATTAATAATGATGTACAGAAAATCAAGTATATTCATAATTACACGTAGCTTCAATCTTCTAGAACTTTCTGGAAACATGCTAAATATAGTAATGACACAGGTAATTATCCAATCAAAAGATGAAATATAACCCTTGTTATTTATTTATTCATTTATTTTAGCACATACATATTGGTACAAGGAGGTACCAAATACATATGCGCCACACAGATCTCATTTGATTTGTGCGAGGGCTATGATACTACCCGGGTGCCTAAACCGGAGCAGGTGGTTTTCTTAGGAGACCACACCCGGCGCCTTCGACCTACAGGTCTGATCCACAAGGCAGTGGAGCATCGTAAGGAGATGCAGTCCCATGGTAGCCGGTGACCAACGATTGGTTCCTACGCCATTTGTTCCTTTAGGATACTGGAGCCCATGTGCACCATTTGTTTGGAATGAGGGTTTTTCAACTCCTCTAGGTGGACTCTCCATGTCCACCAACCCAGTTAAAGCGCTGGACATGCGCTTTTCGTCCTCTCAATTTCGTAAAAAACGCCTCCGCCACGAGAAGGCAGAGAGTAGGACTTCCCTGGCAGAGACTATATACGCGTGGCCATGTGAGAGTATTTCGAGAGGGTGAGCGGACTCTCCACACTCTCGGCCGTACCAGGGCATTTGGGGGCATATTTTCATTTTCTTAGATATATTTGAAGATGATCCAATTATTACAAATAGTATGGTGAAAAACAGCAACGAGATCGCCCACTGACTTTGATTATGAACTATATTCCATAATCCATTTTTTGTGTTGGTTGTTTGTATCTTCCTATTGATGATTAAGATTGCAATTGATCAGTCTCTTTTGATATACCTGCATCCTGTGCGCATTGTTTCGATATTGCCATAAGTCACAAACATTATAAGTAGAAATGGATAGTGGCTAGCAGTAGAATCCGAGAAGCGCGTTTCGTCTCATTTGAAACTTATCAGCTGGACGTACCTGAATCTCACTCCGAGACTCGAACCTAAAAACGTTCAATTAAAAAGCCATTACGTTATCCACTTAGCTACTGAGTTCAAACAGCCACCAACTTGTACATTGAGTTCGAGTCCTGGAATGAACACTAACAAGCCTGGGATGCAGGTACATCGAGCTGACGAGTCCAAAACAGGACGAAGTTCGTGTCCTCAATTCCACTGCTAGCCATCATCTTTCTCTGCTTGTATATTCGATAATATCACAAAAGGTACAGTGTTTAACCATCCTTGAAACTATAAGTAGGCCCCTTCATCTCTAATCACCTTTTCCATTTAATCTGATAATTGGTAAGTAATAAATGATATAAAAGTTCTTGGGATGAACAATAAACTGGGACACATTTGAATGCCCTTTATTTATAAATTAAAGGTCAAACTGATATGAATCCAGGTCTAAATAATGAACGTTTTTCTTACTAACAAAGTATTAAACAAGTAAATGACAAATTATTTCAAGATCAATCCACTTACTCGAGTCTGGAACTTATTAGACTACTTGCGTATCTTAAAGCAAGGCGCCATTGAAGAAGTTTGTAATCATCACGCATTAAATATTGACCACTTAAGTCAATTTCAGTGGCATTTTGTGCAATCTTTAAAAGAAATACATTGAATAAAAGTCAAAAATGTACTCAAATAGTAGAAAATGATTTATTCTATATTGAATCAGTTAGTACTGTGTATATGTATTACTTAAGTTGATGACTTTGTGGAGAAATGTGTACTCACAACTCTCACTCTCTCACTATATATATATATATATATATATATATATATATATATATATATATATATATATATATACAACTCAAAGCAACTGTCAACCAACATCAAGGTCAGAATTTTCAATACAAATGTCAAGACAGTTCTACTGTATGGAGCAGAAACTTGGAGAACTACGAAAGTCATCATCCAGAAGATACAGGTGTTTATTAACAGTTATTTACACAAAATACTTCACATCCGTTTACCAAACACCATCAGCAACAACCTACTATGCGAGAACAAACCAGATTCCAGCGAAGGAAGAAATCAGGATGAAGTGCTGGAAGTGGATAGGACACATATTAAGGAAAGCACCCAACTGTGTCACAAAGCAAGCCCTCACTTGAAATCCTCAAGGCCAAAGGAGAAGAGGAAGATCAAAGAATACATTACATCGAGAAATGGCGAGAGACATGAGGAGAATGAACAAGAATTGGATAGAATTAGAAAGGAAGGCCCAGAACAGAGTGGGTTGGAGAATGCTGGTCGGTGGCCTATGCTCCATTGGGAGTAACAAGCGTAAGTAAAAAATGAAATTAATACCATAGAAAATATTTGAATGTAAATTATTAAAAATCCGTTTTATTGGAGCTAGAAAATAAATCAGGGATAATATCCATTTGTATTGTTGAGTATAGTACTATTGAATCGATGAATTCGTGAGAAATTGAAGGTCATTATGCACAATACGAACTCACCATCTATAATGGAATTCAGATGCCCAAAAAAGAACATAAAAACAAGATTTTAAAAAGGTATCACAAATATTAATGAACTGTTCTTTCTTTCAAAACAAAAAAAACTTACAATATAGACATCATCATCATCGTAAACATCCACTGTAGAACCATCAACAGTGAGGATATGAGAGTAACGGTCCATATTTTCTATATAATAATTTCCAAGTAAATCTTCGTAAGCATTTAAGAATTCATCAGTTAGATTGCGTGCGTTTACCTCCCAAGGCTAACGAAAGTGTTAATCAAACATCCCTTTAGTAATATATATATTGTTTGAAGTAATTGAACAGAGTCCAGATAAAATAGTCTATAATCTCATGCAAATCTATGCCGGTTCAAGTTGCTACACTATGCAACAGTATAGTAGGAGTATATGAGGAAGTACATTCATAGTGAATAAGTGAAATATATACAATGGTGATGTAGATAAACGAGAAATCATAGGTTTCACATGTACAGAAACACCAAGAAGTGAACACATATGAGCTATAGCGATTGTTTTGGGATCAAATCACACAGGGTTTACAAATAACATTTGATTATCACCAGTGAAACTCAGTTTGAAAGTATTCTCCTATTTATATGAATCAGACCATTACTCCATAAATTAATTTATAGAGTGAATTTATGTATTAATTTGGCTACTCTCTACTTTTTTTCTCTATATGACTAGTAACTGTGTACATGTTGTAACATGTGTTCGAGCTATTTCAAACCAAATATATTCACAACTTGACCAGATTCTTTTTATTCAGTCAGTAATCAACTTACAGCCTGGAGCAAATGTGAGCTAGCAGAAGTCTTTATACCACATTAGAACGACAAGATGAATAGCAAACGAGACGAAATAATGTAGTAACGACGGTAGTGAGAAAAACTAAGGATTGAGAATGTGGTTCGAGAAGATGAAAGGAAAAGAAATATATCAAGGAATGTTAGGTGGTTGGATGTGTCAAAAGGAAGATCTACTAAATCTAGGTCTCAAGCTAGTTGACATTCATCGCCGAGGTGTATCTATATTCTTGAAGGGACTTGTGCACTTTGACGGATTAGATCTTGTGTCACCTAGGTGGGGGACGTTGCAAATGAGCTATTCGGGGTGCAACTAACCAGATGTAGAAGTGAGTTCTTTATGATCGATTGATCAGTGAGTAGTGACCAGTTTCATGTTTGTCAAATCCTTTTTATTATTGATCGAATTCTACAGACTAAGGAATGAATACTGGGACTCAACATATACAGTAACATTGTGACAGATTCTGAGCAACTCCACTAAACGTTTTCAATTACTGATGGTGGTTATCGTGTGGATAGTCTTCTACCAAAATGACTCAGATCAACAGTCAATGACATTATGGACTGATATCAAATTTTAGTTATCCCCAAACTTATTCCTACTCCATCCAACATTGAATGTCGAGGTAGGAGGCTATTGGACTTATGTAATACATACCTCAGCCACCTCAGTTCAATGGGGATTCACAACTTCACCAATTGATTCGCTACCCTTGCCTAGGTATCCTACGGCTAGGCAATGACAAATAGGAAGATAGGGATCTTCCCTCTCCTCATTGTTTAAAATTATGTGTCCAATTTTAAAATTACTCAACTGATGGTATCACCACACACCAACAATACTTCGAAAGCACATAAAATCCGAATACTCTTCGTTTTAAAATACCTACTTTCAAGTGTAATGCTTTATAACTACATATTAGAATGAGGTAGACACATTAATATATATTACGTTCTTGATATCTACTTAATAATATATAGGAGAGAACTTGGCTCGACCTAGGTCAAGGCCTTGACACGATAAGCTAATTGGTTCGCCGTCGAGGCTAAAAGTGAGTGAATCCGAACGAAGACTAACGGGATTGAGCAGGGACGAAAACTATTCTGTCACCTGATTGGTTGACAAGTCCTGCTTCGGCCTGAACACCCGGACAGTATTCTAGCCCACACACAAATCAAGTGGCTTGTGTGATGCATATGTATTCGGTGCCCCTTTGTACCAATATTTCTGTGTTCAAATAAATATTAATTAATTAATTAAATATTAGGGTATAAAAATAGAGTACAAAAGGTTACGTTTAAATTACAGTAGCTTTGGAATAGAAAAGGTTATGAGAATGAATGATGCATTGAACGGCAGCTTATGGTTTGTAGAATCACTAGGAACAAAAGTGCATGTATTTTACAAACTTTGAATTAAGCAGAATAATGTTCCCGAAAATACCTTTCGTCGTTCGACATGGCTCCTTTACTTCTTTACTTACATCAACACACAGTCAGTCAGTCAGTAACAACGTAGAACTTCGTACGTACGTACATCAGTTCGAGTTGCCACACCACATTAGCACAGAGATGCAGTTGTCGACTCAAATCCCGTAGTGGTAGAGGTAATAAGAGTATAAGCAGTAATCGGGAAGATTAGGGTTTGGAGATGTTATTTAAAGAGTATAATCCAGTGAAATAAATTTGGAAAGAGGAAAAAAGGGACATGAAGAATTCAGAAGATTAGAATTTGGGAGAACACAGAGAGTGGATGCACCTGCGCCATTGCAAACGATTTTGAGCCATGTCATTCAGGGTCTCTAACCATCGGTTGCTATCATCTCGCGGTCCCCAACCAGGTAGTCTACACCTACCAACATGACTCAGTTCACTTGTCAGTGACTTCATGGACTTGTGCCATGTTTTGGTTTGGCCGCCCCTAGCTTTCTTCCAACCTACTCCTATACCACTGAACATAAAACGTCGAGGCAGTCAGTCGTTGGACATACGTAACACGTGTCCCAGCCATCTCAACTGATGACGTTTCACTACTTCATCAATTGATTTGCCATCCTTACCTAGTACCCGTTTCCTAACAACTGCGTTTCTTACTCGATGGTCCCAGGATATACGAGCAATGTTTCGAAGACACCTATGATCGAATACTAGTAACCTACGAATATCCTCTACTCTTACCGGCCATGTTTCACTGCCATAAAGTAGGACGGAACGAACACATCCTTCGGTCGATAGACGGATATTTCGCCTACGCCACAAATGACGCAAGTTGGCAAAAGCTAGTCGAGCCTTCTGTATCCGTGCTGAGATTTCGTCACAAACCAGACCACAAGGGCTGATGAGACTTCCAAGATAAGTGAAGCGGTCGACACACTCAACTACTTCACTCCCTATCACTAGTTCGGGTGTCGATGTAACCCAATCCTGAAGCAACATTTTGCATTTCGAGGGAGAGAATCGCATCCCGAACATGCTTGCATTGTTGCTTAGAGTGGTCAGAAGACTCTTCATTTTGTCAGTGTCTTCACCAAATAAAACTATGTCATCTGCATATTCTAAGTCAACAAGTGAACCTCCCGGTACAAGTTCAACCCCTGGAAATTTAGATGAGGAGAGTGTTATCTCTAAAAGTACGTCGACCACAAAGTTGAACAAGAATGGGGAGAGTGGACAGCCCTGACGAACACCACTTGAGGTAATCAATTCTGATGACAGTTCGCCATAAGCTCTTACTCTACCAGTTGTGTTCGAGTAGACAGCCTTTATAAGGTTAATGTACTTCTTTGGTACTCCTTTCAGTGACAAACACTGCCATAGAACCTCACGATCAACAGAGTCGAATGCCGCCTTAAGGTCGAGAAATACTACCATTGTGGGGCGTCTGAATGTGTCTGTGTTCTAGAACCTGACGTAGTGTGAATATCTGATCTATACAACCACGTCCAGGTCGAAAACTGGCCTGGTTTTCTCTAATCTGCTCTTCACGAGCTTTGATTAGGCGTCGAAGTATTATTGAAGTTAATATTTTAGACACTATATTAGTCGAACTGATTCCTCTGTGATTGTCACAAGAGGACTTTTGTCCTTTCTTATAGACTGGCACAATCAGTGATTGAGACCAGTCAGACGGGATTACGTCCAGTTCCCAAATTCTACGTAGGACTTCGGTTAATCTCATTGCTAATACTGGACCACCATCCTTAAAAATCTCAGGAGTAAACCTGTCAGGGCCTGCTGCTCTCCCTCGTTTCAGATTTCCTATGGCTTTTTCAACTTCGTAAAGAAACGGAGGACCTACATTAACTTGCCATTCAGGTTGACTAGAGATCGTGGGAAACCGAAGTGTGGCTGAAGACCAGTTGAACTGATCCCTAAAGTGTTCTGCCCATCGATCCAATCTCCTGGATTGAGAATGAATAATATGTCCATCTTTCTCTGAGATTGTTTCGCTAACGGTCGGGTTCCTAATACAGGTTTCCTTAACGAGTCTGAACAATTGTCTGCTATTACCTATTGCCGCTGCCTTTTCCATCTCTCTTGCTTTCGCTACCCACCACTGTTCGCGATCATTGCGTAGACTTTTTGTCAGCTTGCGCTTAAGCTGACTCCGATCTTCATTATGTTCAGAGCCAGGTAGAATGAGTTTCCGAGCATCTATCAGTGAGATAGATGCTGCTGAGACCCAGTGTTGCTCCCTAACCTTCTGGTTTACCTTACTAGCAGATATCACTGCTGTTTCCACAGCTTTTCGGATATCATTCCATACTGCATCGGGGTGGGCATCACACACATGGCTGCCTAACTGTTTTCCTAGTTGTTCCTGAAATATACTCTTAGCTTGACTATCATTAAGTAGGCCCCTAAGAGGTTTCCTTGCAGCGTCTTTCCTACGTCCAGTAAGACGCAAGCAAATACGCGCTCGCACTAGAGCATGATCTGAATCTAAGCATGTGCTCCAGAATGAGCGACAGTCTTCTATCGACCCCCTCCGTCGGTGGCTGATAGCGATGTGATCTATTTGGGTCCAACGTTGGGACGAATTAGGGGGTCGCCATGTTAAAAGATGTTTTTCCTTATGCTTAAAGTTAGTATTTGCAAGGAACAGGCGGTTATCTGAGCATAGCTGCAACAGACGGTCGCCATTATCTGTTCTTTGAGCCACGACACCATAAGATCTACCTAGGTGTCTTTCCCTATCGCTTAGTTTACCTACTTGAGCATTAAAGTCACCGGCCACTATTACTACATCCGAGCGCTTAGCTTTTCGGAGAAGGTCCGAAAGCTTTCTGTAAAACTCATCTTTTACATCATTTGAGCTGCAGTCAGTGGGAGAATAGGCAGAGACGACGAAGAGGAAACGACGAGTGTCCCTATCTTTCCGGATTCTTACTGTTCCGTTCAGTCGGACAGAGCACAAACGACTGTCTACTG